CTCTCGTATAAATGTTATGCCTAAGTCTTTCGTTAGTGTTTACCCTAAAGCGTGGCTTTTCTACTTGAACATATTAAAGGTGTTTAAGATATACAGGGTGATTGATATAAGTGTGCCAGCCGTTTTATTCGAAAACTATAAGAGGTATCAAAATACGTTAAAAGGTAAGTGCCTTGGATTTTTTATTTTAAAAATTGTAGTCAAGTCGAAAAAAATATTTTAGCCGCCATTTTTCCAATATGGCCGCCAACATTGATTTTTCTTATGGAACGCCCTGTATTTTATGATGTATTCCAGTAGAAAATGTAATTTTAAAACGATTTTATTCTCGTGATTTTTTCCATAAACCTAATCGTTTCAAAGATAATAATGGTTAAAGTTTTGAAATTTTGGCATGAGAAAGAGTTTTGATAAAGACCTAAGCAATATGCCGGCTGATATATTCGAAAACTATTCAAAATTTCACAGCTTAAACCATTATTATCTTTGAAACGGTTAGGATTATGAAAAAAATTACAAGAATAAAATCGTCTTAAAATTACATTTTCTACCGGAATACATCATAAAATACAGGGTGTTCCATAAGAGAAATCAATGTTGGTGGCCATATTGGAAAAAAATAATTTTTTCGACTTGACTACAATTTTTAAAATAAAAAATCCAAGGCACTTACCATTTAACTTTTTTTGATACCTCTTATAGTTTTCGAATAAAACGGCTGGCACACTTATACCAATCACCCTGTATTTTAACATTAACAAGTGAGGTATAGAACCAGATTTATTTTTGGACTTGGTTGGACATTGAAACGTGATTTTGTGTAAGTTGGACTTAGAGAGAAATACAAATTGTCCAGCGTACCCTGTTAACTTAATTTCTTATTTCATCGACAGCGCTGGAGTCTAGTTTTAAGCTCGTAGTGAGACAAGATTATTTTATTACTCTGTCATTAGTATTGCTTTTGAACATGCAAAAGTAACCTGCTACTGAATAGAAACAAACGTCGGTCAGAATAGATTTAGACATTTTACTGTTCCATGGTGTGTTCTACTTTACTATCTAATTGACACAGTATTGAAGTTCCTAGTGTGTAGGTGGCGTAAGAATCTAATTTTCGAGGTTACAAGGGCACATTACTCCCCGGAAACCTAAAAGCCACATCAATTTCAGAACGATTTCAAAACCATTTGAAAAGACCAATGTAATACATTATAACCTCCACAATACCTTTCAATAAACCCCGCGATCATTCCCGCCCTTCGCACCTCCTCATTCAGAAGCCAGGACGTTGTAAACGCGTGTAAGATCAGATGATTCTCGACCACAGATCATTGTTGCCCTCCGGCCTTTGTAGCGGTCCAGGTGTCCGAAGAGCTCCGCCTCTTCCTGGCTTGCGTAATCGATCAAAATTTGTCAATGGTCCGCCCCGCCTAACCTAACGCACTTATGATAGCTGCTTTCCCTCGCGTTCTTTTCAAAGCCTTTGGAAAAGTCGCACGACTTTGTCATAGGATAAAGCCCGATTCGGTTTCTACAGTCATTTCTGGATGTTTCCTATAGAAGTTTCGAAATTCGCAGCTGATGGTCCATCGTGTGGATTGAATGTTAAAGATTTATCAAGCATTGTATTTGTCAAAAGAGATTTGAACTTAATTTTGATAGGTCAATGGTTTTAAACAAGGAATCAGATTTTAACATAACAGCTTTCGAAGATAAAAATATTGGGTTAAATAGTTACGAATCACCTTACAACTCAAACAGGTTACAGTTCCGGCACCTAATCTTTCTACAAATCGAGCACTGGGTACTATAGCATAGATTAAAGGGAAAAGGAGTAAACAAGGAGAAGAGTATCTACTCCTTTTATCTATGGTACAGTGTATGCGTTAGTTGATGTAATGGCCAGAAAGAAAGGCTAACTTCACTGCCCGTATAAGGGTTAAAGGCAGATAAATTAATTAAAGTACTCTAATCAGTTCAAAATCGGTTGTCTGCATGTGTTCTCGATTTGTGCAGAGTTTTTGGGATGCATTTTCATGACTGCCTTATCCTACACTTACACTACAACCCAAGAATGAGTTATTATTCTGTATTTTGTTTTAAATAAGTCGTAGAAAAATGAGTCGTATGTCACTGAAATGTTGGTTGACCACAGTGGCTACGTAACAGATCCGTCTTGCAACATTCTCACTTAAAATTTACAACATGTTTCTATAGTTTATCCAGTAGGGTATATTTGATAAATTAAATATATCATTATAAATGATATAATATTATTATAAATATATCACTTGTCCTATTATTACTACTACTTATTGTTTCTGCCTAGAATGGAAAAACTCACTATTTACTGTTTGCTTAGATCTTGCTAGTGTTTGTTATCACATTGTAAATTAATTTATTGTATTTATTGTTCTGTTTTTGTTCTTGTTTAAACTTTTTGCATTGTTATTGTTATTGTTGTTATTGATATTTCTCGTTGACTGATCTGTTATTGTTTCCTTTGTTGATTTTTAAATTATTGTTCTTTGCCTTTGCTTGTTAAACTTGTTGCACAGTATCATGAAATTTGAATTGTTTATGTATAAATTGGCAATTTTGCCGTTGAAATAAATGAAATGAAATCATTAATTAATCATTCTGAAGAATCATCTTATGACAATTTATATGTTTCCACCCAGTATATATTGGGTCCAGAATTATTCCCGATCGTAATCGAACCAACAAACTTAGATTTGAAGGCGACCTTTAGAACTCCTCGACAATTAAACTAAATTAAGCATCCAGACGTAATTCAGAGGGATGTAGTTGAAAATCAAATCAACATATGGACGCAATACACTTAACACAATTCACCCATCTGATCCAGCAACATCTTAAACAAATCGCGACCCTATTCTGGATAGTAAAAATCACAATAAGGGAACAAACATCGTCAAGCGAAACGAATACGACTCAATATCCTTTGCGAATCGGCGGAAGAATCTCAGAAGAACAATAAAATAAAGTTCCCGATCAATCCAGGGCAGTAGCAGCGTTCACTTAAGTTTCCAAGATCCTCTCAGGAATACAGGAATTGATCTGGCGTCGGCAGTTGCCATGGCGACTGCTCGCTGATTGGCCGGTTGAGAGAAGCCCCGCCCACTACTTAGTGTATGGCGACACCGCTCACATATTACAGTCTATTAGAGCCTGTTTTGATACTTAGCCCTGATTGCGTATCATGTGCCACGGTAACTCGGCAGTTACGCTCCTCAATCTGCTATATTATGGCGGGTAAAGTTGTATGGCGCGGAAAGTATACGGTCGTTTCAGACATGTTAAAAGAGTTGCGGAAATCAGTCGTGGAAAAACTGGCCAATACAGGTTTTATATCAGCCTCGTAGTGATAATGTTGAGATGTGTCCTTGCTTCTTTTTATCAACTAGCACCATGTTGTATTGGTACTATACAATAAACCCCGAACATAGCAAGATAGGTGTAGTTGGTTGTCATTTTTAAAGGAAGTACTAAATTAGTAAGCTGGTTAATTTCTAATGTAGCTCTCTGTACGTTTGTTTTATTAAGGGGATAGACATATCGCTTGCTAGTCGAGTGTCAGTAATCGTCTTTCAATCGATCCTAAAACAAAATCAGTGGATTTCGATTGTTTAAACTGTCTTGAATAATTATCCTTTTTATTGATTCTGGTTAATGAAATAGCTTATTTAAGTAATAAATAAAGATGTGATCATCTCACACTATTCCTATTCTACATTCAATTTAGATTTATACTTAAAACTCAACTAAAATGTAACTCAAGTTAGTTAAACTCAAATTTGAAAAAAAATCACATTATTTAGGAAAAACACATTTAGGTGCTATCTTACTGAAGTTATCAAAGATGTGTAGGAAAAAATAAAGAGAAATACAATTTTTTTTTTGTAAATGATTTTGATTGCATCTTGGGAAGGCAGAGTTTAATGTGAACGCCATTGTTTGTATTCATTATAATTAACGAATTGTTGTGTATTTCTATTTTGTAAATGACACTGGCCATTGATGAATAGATAATAATTATGAGAGCTAAAAACACTGACGGAAATCTCATTATATAAAATGTTAAGTTTATATTTAACTACTGGAAATACTTTGTTTTCTACGTAGTCTGATTGTATAAATCGGATTAAATATGTCCTCATGTCGTCTATTCAATAATACACCATGTGTCTATTATCTAGTTTATACACTTAAAAACACATTAAATAAAAAACTCTTATATCCAAAACTATACAAAAAGTCTGACCTATTAATATTATATCTCTGAACTTACGGCTAGTTTAATTGGCAAAGGCTAAACAAGTTTTAGAAATGATAAAACTAAAGTAGAATGAAATTGCTCATAGTGATTAGGACAAATAAACAATTCATATTTAAAAATAGAATAAAAATTCATATAGAAAATAGAAACGGTACAATTCATATAATAATATTCAATGTGGAGGAAATCAAATGCATTTGAACAATATATTTCACATCGAAACGAAGCCCGTTCAATTCAAAGCAACAAGGAACAAATAAAGATGTGTAACAAACAAAGAAAATAAAGGGCAGCATTAAATAAGAGAGGAAAGAAAAGAAATTGGAAGAAAGTTGCCTGACGGAACCCTCTATTCTGAAAGGAAATGTTTCATTACTGTCTTTAGGACGATTACTCTTTTAAACCCCAACTGCTTTGTAACAGACAGACCATCTTAGATTACATGTGAGCATCATGCATAAATATTTGTAGAAATTTATGTGATCAACATATAAAATTGTGTTTAGTTTTGCAAGGAGGAATCAAGCATTGGTATGTTAAATTTGTATCCAAGAGTTATACATTACTATCTTTGTATGTTCATGAAAGCATTATTCATGAACCACCTATTTTGTTAACAGTGTAGGCATCCTGCGTACTCGTAAAATCTTAATATCATTTCTGGTATAACGTACAAGTATCTCGCAAACTATGTATCGAGTGTATTGCTGGTATAACGTATCTACACGTCTCTCACAAACTGTGTATCGAGTGTATTGCTGATATAACGTATCTACAAGTCTCTCACAAACTATGTATCGAGTGTATTGCTGGTATAACGTATCTACAAGTCTCTCACAAACTGTGTATCGAGTGTATTGCTGGTATAACGTATCTACAAGTCTCTCACAAACTATGTATCGAGTGTATTGCTGATATAACGTATCTACAAGTCTCTCACAAACTGTGTATCGAGTGTATTGCTGGTATAACGTATCTACAAGTCCCTCACAAACTGTGTATCGAGTGTATTGCTGATATAACGTATCTACAAGTCTCTCACAAACTGTGTATCGAGTGTATTGCTGGTATAACGTATCTACAAGTCCCTCACAAACTGTGTATCGAGTGTATTGCTGGTATAACGTATCTACAAGTCTCTCACAAACTGTGTATCGAGTGTATTGCTGGTATAACGTATCTACAAGTCTCTCACAAACTGTGTATCGAGTGTATTGCTGATATAACGTATCTACAAGTCTCTCACAAACTGTGTATCGAGTGTATTGCTGGTATAACGTATCTACAAGTCCCTCACAAACTGTGTATCGAGTGTATTGCTGGTATAACGTATCTACAAGTCTCTCACAAACTGTGTATCGAGTGTATTGCTGGTATAACGTATCTACAAGTCTCTCACAAACTGTGTATCGAGTGTATTTCTGGTGTAACGTATCTACAAGTCTCTCACAAACTGTGTATCGAGTGTATTGCTGGTATAACGTATCTACAAGTCTCTCACAAACCGTGTATCGAGTGTATTTCTGGTGTAACGTATCTACAAGTCTCTCACAAACTGTGTATCGAGTGTATTGCTGGTATAACGTATCTACACTCTCACAAACTGTGTATCGAGTGTATTGCTGGTATATCGTATCTACAAGTCTCTCACAAACTGTGTATCAAGTGTATTTCTGGTGTAACGGATCTACAAGTCCCTCACAAACTGTGTATCGAGTGTATTGCTGGTATAACGTATCTACACTCTCACAAACTGTGTATCGAGTGTATTGCTGGTATATCGTATCTACAAGTCTCTCACAAACTGTGTATCAAGTGTATTTCTGGTGTAACGGATCTACAAGTCCCTCACAAACTGTGTATCGAGTGTATTGCTGGTATAACGTATCTACAAGTCTCTCACAAACTGTGTATCGAGTGTATTTCTGGTGTAACGTATCTACAAGTCTCTCACAAACTGTGTATCGAGTGTATTGCTGGTATAACGTATCTACAAGCCTCTCACAAACTGTGTATCGAGTGTATTGCTGGTATAACGTATCTACACTCTCACAAACTGTGTATCGAGTGTATTGCTGGTATATCGTATCTACAAGTCTCTCACAAACTGTGTATCAAGTGTATTGCTGGTATAACGTATCTACAAGTCTCTCACAAACTGCGTTTCGAGTGTATAACGGATCTACAAGTCCCTCACAAACTGTGTATCGAGTGTATTGCTGGTATAACGTATCTACAAGTCTCTTACAAACTGTGTATCGAGTGTATTGCTGGTATAACGTATCTACAAGTCCCTCACAAACTGCGTATCGAGTGTATTTCTGGTATGGTATAACGTATCTACAAGTCTCTCACAAACTGTGTATCAGTGTATTGCTGGTATAACGTATCTACAAGTCTCTTACAAACTGTGTATCGAGTGTATTGCTGGTATGGTATAACGTATCTACAAGTCTCTCACAAACTGTGTATCGAGTGTATTGCTGGTATAACGTATCTACAAGTCCCTCACAAATTGTGTATCGAGTGTATTGCTTGTATAACGTATCTACAAGTCTCTTACAAACTGTGTATCGAGTGTATTGCTGGTATGGTATAACGTATCTACAAGTCTCTCACAAACTGTGTATCAGTGTATTGCTGGTATAACGTATCTACAAGTCTCTTACAAACTGTGTATCGAGTGTATTGCTGGTATGGTATAACGTATCTACAAGTCTCTCACAAACTGTGTATCGAGTGTATTGCTGGTATAACGTATCTACAAGTCCCTCGCAAATTGTGTATCAGTGTATTGCTGGTATAACGTATCTACAAGTCTCTTAAAAACTGTGTATCGAGTGTATTGCTGGTATGGTATAACGTATCTACAAGTCTCTCACAAACTGTGTATCAGTGTATTGCTGGTATAACGTATCTACAAGTCTCTTACAAACTGTGTATCGAGTGTATTGCTGGTATGGTATAACGTATCTACAAGTCTCTCACAAACTGTGTATCGAGTGTATTGCTGGTATAACGTATCTACAAGTCTCTTACAAACTGTGTATCGAGTGTATTGCTGGTATAACGTATCTACAAGTCCCTCACAAACTGCGTATCGAGTGTATTGCTGGTATGGTATAACGTATCTACAAGTCTCTCACAAACTGTGTATCAGTGTATTGCTGGTATGGTATAACGGATCTACAAGTCCCTCACAAACTGTGTATCGAGTGTATTGCTGGTATAACGTATCTACAAGTCCCTCACAAACTGTGTATCGAGTGTATTGCTGGTATAACGTATCTACAAGTCTCTCACAAACTGTGTATCAGTGTAATGCTGGTATAACGTAACTAAAAGTCCCTCACAAACTGTGTATCGAGTGTATTGCTGGTTTAACGTATCTACATTCTACAAGTCCCTCACAAACTGTGTATCGAGTGTATTGCTGGTATAACGTATCTACAAGTCCCTCACAAACTGTGTATCGAGTGTATTGCTGATATAACGTATCTACAAGTCCCTCACAAACTGTGTATCGAGTGTATTGCTGATATAACATCGTATTTACAAGTCTCTCACAAACTGTGTATCGAGTGTATTGCTGGTATAACGTATCTACATTCTACAAGTCCCTCACAAACTGTGTATCGAGTGTATTGCTGGAATAACGTATCTACAAGTCCCTCACAAACTGTGTATCGAGTGTATTGCTGATATAACATCGTATTTACAAGTCTCTCACAAACTGTGTATCGAGTGTATTGCTCGTATAACGTATCTACAAGTCCCTCACAAACTGTGTATCGAGTGTATTGCTGATATAACATCGTATTTACAAGTCTCTCACAAACTGTGTATCGAGTGTATTGCTCGTATAACGTATATACAAGTCCCTCAAAAAATGTGTATCGAGTGTATTGCTGATATAACATTGTATTTACAAGTCTCTCACAAACTGTGTATCGAGTCTATTGATGGTATAACGTATCTACCAACAAGTATCTCACAAACTGTGTATCGAGTGTATTGCTGGTATAACGTATCTACAAATCTCTCACAAACTGTGTGTCGAGTGTATTGCTGGTATAACGTATCTACAAGTATCTCACAAACTGTGTATCGAGTGTATAGCTGGTATAACGTATCTACAAGTATCTCACAAACTGTGTATCGAGTGTATAGCTGGTATAACGTATCTACAAGTATCTCACAAACTGCGCATCGAGTGTATTGCTGGTATTACGTATCTACAAGGCCCTCACAAACTGTTTATCTAGTGTATTGCTAGTATAACGTATCTACAAGTCCCTCACAAACTGTGTATCGAGTATATTGATAGTATAACGTATCAACAAGTCCCTCACAAACTGTGTATCGAGTGTATTGCTGGTATAACGTATCTACAAGTCTCTCACAAACTGTGTATCGAGTGTATTGCTGGTATAACGTATCTACAAGTCCCTCACAAACTGCGTTTGTAGTGTATTGCTGGTATAACGTATCTACAAGTATCTCACAAACTGTGTATCGGGTGTATTGCTGGTATAACGTATCTACAAGTCTCTCCCAAACTGTATATCGAGTGTATTGCTGGTATAACGTATCAACAAGTCTCTCGCAAATTGTGTATCGAGTGTATTGCTGGTATAACGTATCTACAAGTCCCTCACAAATTGTGTATCGAGTGTATTGCTGGTATAACGTATCTACAAGTCCCTCACAAACTGTGTATCGAGTGTATTGCTGATATAACGTATCTACAAGTCTCTCACAAACTGTGTATCGAGTGTATTGCTGGTATAACGTATCTACAAGTCCCTCACAAACTGTGTATCGAGTGTATTGCTGGTATAACGTATCTACAAGTCTCTCACAAACTGTGTATCGAGTGTATTGCTGGTATAACGTATCTACAAGTCTCTCACAAACTGTGTATCGAGTGTATTGCTGATATAACGTATCTACAAGTCTCTCACAAACTGTGTATCGAGTGTATTGCTGGTATAACGTATCTACAAGTCCCTCACAAACTGTGTATCGAGTGTATTGCTGGTATAACGTATCTAAAAGTCTCTCACAGACTGTGAATCGAGTGTATTGCTGGTATAACGTATCTACAAGTCTCTCACAAACTGTGTATCGAGTGTATTGCTGGTATAACGTATCTACAAGTCTCTCACAAACTGTGTATCGAGTGTATTGCTGATATAACGTATCTACAAGTCTCTCACAAACTGTGTATCGAGTGTATTGCTGGTATAACGTATCTACAAGTCCCTCACAAACTGTGTATCGAGTGTATTGCTGGTATAACGTATCTAAAAGTCTCTCACAGACTGTGAATCGAGTGTATTGCTGGTATAACGTATCTACAAGTCTCTCACAAACTGTGTATCGAGTGTATTTCTGGTGTAACGTATCTACAAGTCTCTCACAAACTGTGTATCGAGTGTATTGCTGGTATAACGTATCTACAAGTCTCTCACAAACTGTGTATCGAGTGTATTTCTGGTGTAACGTATCTACAAGTCTCTCACAAACTGTGTATCGAGTGTATTGCTGGTATAACGTATCTACACTCTCACAAACTGTGTATCGAGTGTATTGCTGGTATATCGTATCTACAAGTCTCTCACAAACTGTGTATCAAGTGTATTTCTGGTGTAACGGATCTACAAGTCCCTCACAAACTGTGTATCGAGTGTATTGCTGGTATAACGTATCTACAAGTCTCTCACAAACTGTGTATCGAGTGTATTTCTGGTGTAACGTATCTACAAGTCTCTCACAAACTGTGTATCGAGTGTATTGCTGGTATAACGTATCTACAAGCCTCTCACAAACTGTGTATCGAGTGTATTGCTGGTATAACGTATCTACACTCTCACAAACTGTGTATCGAGTGTATTGCTGGTATATCGTATCTACAAGTCTCTCACAAACTGTGTATCAAGTGTATTGCTGGTATAACGTATCTACAAGTCTCTCACAAACTGCGTTTCGAGTGTATAACGGATCTACAAGTCCCTCACAAACTGTGTACCGTATCGAGTGTATTGCTGGTATAACGTATCTACAAGTCTCTTACAAACTGTGTATCGAGTGTATTGCTGGTATAACGTATCTACAAGTCCCTCACAAACTGCGTATCGAGTGTATTTCTGGTATGGTATAACGTATCTACAAGTCTCTCACAAACTGTGTATCAGTGTATTGCTGGTATAACGTATCTACAAGTCTCTTACAAACTGTGTATCGAGTGTATTGCTGGTATGGTATAACGTATCTACAAGTCTCTCACAAACTGTGTATCGAGTGTATTGCTGGTATAACGTATCTACAAGTCCCTCACAAATTGTGTATCGAGTGTATTGCTTGTATAACGTATCTACAAGTCTCTTACAAACTGTGTATCGAGTGTATTGCTGGTATGGTATAACGTATCTACAAGTCTCTCACAAACTGTGTATCAGTGTATTGCTGGTATAACGTATCTACAAGTCTCTTACAAACTGTGTATCGAGTGTATTGCTGGTATGGTATAACGTATCTACAAGTCTCTCACAAACTGTGTATCGAGTGTATTGCTGGTATAACGTATCTACAAGTCCCTCGCAAATTGTGTATCAGTGTATTGCTGGTATAACGTATCTACAAGTCTCTTAAAAACTGTGTATCGAGTGTATTGCTGGTATGGTATAACGTATCTACAAGTCTCTCACAAACTGTGTATCAGTGTATTGCTGGTATAACGTATCTACAAGTCTCTTACAAACTGTGTATCGAGTGTATTGCTGGTATGGTATAACGTATCTACAAGTCTCTCACAAACTGTGTATCGAGTGTATTGCTGGTATAACGTATCTACAAGTCTCTTACAAACTGTGTATCGAGTGTATTGCTGGTATAACGTATCTACAAGTCCCTCACAAACTGCGTATCGAGTGTATTGCTGGTATGGTATAACGTATCTACAAGTCTCTCACAAACTGTGTATCAGTGTATTGCTGGTATGGTATAACGGATCTACAAGTCCCTCACAAACTGTGTATCGAGTGTATTGCTGGTATAACGTATCTACAAGTCCCTCACAAACTGCGTATCGAGTGTATTGCTGGTATAACGTATCTACAAGTCTCTCACAAACTGTGTATCAGTGTAATGCTGGTATAACGTAACTACAAGTCCCTCACAAACTGTGTATCGAGTGTATTGCTGGTATAACGTATCTACATTCTACAAGTCCCTCACAAACTGTGTATCGAGTTTATTGCTGGAATAACGTATCTACAAGTCTCTCACAAACTGTGTATCAGTGTATTGCTTGTATGGTATAACGGATCTACAAGTCCCTCACAAACTGTGTATCGAGTGTATTGCTGGTATAACGTATCTACAAGTCCCTCACAAACTGTGTATCGAGTGTATTGCTGATATAACGTATCTACAAGTCCCTCACAAACTGTGTATCGAGTGTATTGCTGATATAACATCGTATTTACAAGTCTCTCACAAACTGTGTATCGAGTGTATTGCTGGTATAATGTATCTACATTCTACAAGTCCCTCACAAACTGTGTATCGAGTGTATTGCTGGAATAACGTATCTACAAGTCCCTCACAAACTGTGTATCGAGTGTATTGCTGATATAACATCGTATTTACAAGTCTCTCACAAACTGTGTATCGAGTGTATTGCTCGTATAACGTATCTACAAGTCCCTCACAAACTGTGTATCGAGTGTATTGCTGATATAACATCGTATTTACAAGTCTCTCACAAACTGTGTATCGAGTGTATTGCTCGTATAACGTATATACAAGTCCCTCAAAAAATGTGTATCGAGTGTATTGCTGATATAACATTGTATTTACAAGTCTCTCACAAACTGTGTATCGAGTCTATTGATGGTATAACGTATCTACCAACAAGTATCTCACAAACTGTGTATCGAGTGTATTGCTGGTATAACGTATCTACAAATCTCTCACAAACTGTGTGTCGAGTGTATTGCTGGTATAACGTATCTACAAGTATCTCACAAACTGTGTATCGAGTGTATAGCTGGTATAACGTATCTACAAGTATCTCACAAACTGTGTATCGAGTGTATAGCTGGTATAACGTATCTACAAGTATCTCACAAACTGTGCATCGAGTGTATAGCTGGTATAACGTTTTTACAAGTCTCTCACAAACTGTGTATCGTGTGTATTGCTGGTATACCGTATTTACAAGTCTCTCACAAACTGTGTATCGAGTGTATTGCTGGTGTAACGTATCTAATAGTCCCTCACAAACTGTGTATCGAGTGTATTGCTGGTTTAACGTATCTACCTACAAGTCCCTCACAAACTGTGTATCGAGTGTATTGCTGATATAACGTATCTACAAGTCCCTCACAAACTGCGTATCGAGTGTATTGCTGGTATGGTATAACGTATCTACAAGTTTCTCACAAACTGTGATGCACAAGATACACAGTTTGTGAGGGACTTGTAGATACGTTATACCAGCAATATACTCGATACACAGATTGTGAGAGACTTGTAGATACGTTATACTAGCAATACACTAGATACACAGTTTGTGAGGGACTTGTAGATACGTATTGCTGGTATAACGTATCTACAAGTCTCTCACAAACTGCGTATCGAGTATATTGCTGGTATAACGTATCTACAAGTCCCTCACAAATTGTGTATCGAGTGTATTGCTGGTATAACGTATCTAAAAGTCCCTCACAAACTGCGTATCGAGTATATTGCTGGTATAACGTATCTTCAAGTCCCTCACAAACTGTGTATCTAGTGTATTGCTAGTATAACGTATCTACAAGTCTCTCACAAACTGTGTATCGAGTGTATTGCTGGTATAACGTATCTACAAGTCCCTCACAAACTGTGTATCGAGTATATTGCTGGTATAACGTATCTACAAGTCCCTCACAAACTGTGTATCTAGTGTATTGCTAGTATAACGTATCTACAAGTCTCTCACAAACTGTGTATCGAGTATATTGCTGGTATAACGTATCTACAAGTCCCTCACAAACTGTGTATCTAGTGTATTGCTGGTATAACGTATCTAAAAGTCCCTCACAAACTGTGTATCGAGTATATTGCTGGTATAACGTATCTACAAGTCCCTCACAAACTGTGTATCTAGTGTATTGCTGGTATAACGTATCTACAAGTCCCTCACAAACTGCGCATCGAGTGTATTGCTGGTATTACGTATCTACAAGTCCCTCACAAACTGTTTATCTAGTGTATTGCTAGTATAACGTATCTACAAGTCTCTCACAAACTGTGTATCGGGTGTATTGCTGGTATAACGTATCTACAAGTCTCTCCCAAACTGTATATCGAGTGTATTGCTGGTATAACGTATCAACAAGTCTCTCGCAAATTGTGTATCGAGTGTATTGCTGGTATAACGCATCTACAAGTCCCTCACAAATTTTGTATCGAGTGTATTGCTGGTATAACGTATCTACAAGTCCCTCGCAAATTGTGTATCAAGTGTATTGCTGGTATAACGTATCTACAAGTCCTTCACAAATTGTGTATCGAGTGTATTGCTGGTATAACGTATCTACAAGTCTCTCACAAACTGTGTATTGAGTGTATTGCTGGTATAACATATCTACAAGTCCCTCGCAAATTGTGTATCGAGTGTATTGCTGGTATAACGTATCTACAAGTCCCTCACAAATTGTGTATCGAGTGTATTGCTGGTATAACGTATCTACAAGTCCCTAACAAATTGTGTATCGAGTGTATTGCTGGTATAACGTATCTACAAGTCCCTCACAAATTGTGAATCGAGTGTATTGCTGGTATAACGTATCTACAAGTCTCTCACAAACTGTGTATTGAGTGTATTGCTGGTATAACGTATCTACAAGTCCCTCACAGACTGTGTATTGAGTGTATTGCTGGTATAACGTATCTACATGTCCCTCACAAACTGTGTATCGGGTGTATTGCTGGTATAACGTATCTACAAGTCCCTCACAGACTGTGTATCGAGTGTAGCATGTGGAGGGCCTTTAGTCATATGACCTCACTCAGACACGCACATTGGTATTGACAAGCAAACTACCCACAACACGCCATGCTGGGTGTTCTGTGTGCTGCTATAGGGTATGACGAGCTGTTGGGAAATGCTATGGATATTATCTTGTAATAGGTAATATATTTGCAGTTTAAATATGTCAAAGTACTGTTGAATGATTTGCATACAATTTTTCTCAATTTCTTTGATAATCATATATGATTTTGTTTATATTTCAATAATTTATATGCAATTATCACACTGGTATCACAGAATAGTTAGTGAGACATTATTTATACAGGATTACTTTTTTTTCTTTGAATGCAATTTTTTTAAATCCCATTCAATGCGAGTCATTGTAGCACTTATAACTCGTATAACTATATATATATATCAATAGACAAACAAGTACATTCAAACAGCCTCAATATAGTTATTACTGTACCATCATCGCTAATAAAGAATTTTCATAGCCATTGCCTGGTATCCTTGTATCAATTAATATATTATTATGTTAAGGGTATAATTATAACAGTGCTATAATTAAGATATATCTTCAGTTTATTGCAATTTAGAAGTTAGAGTATGAAATAGAAAGCGGTATTTTACAGCACCTTACTCTGTTGATGGCTCTGTTAAAATAAGTTATTTTTTAGCGAATTTCCCCTATAGGGAATAAGCTATTACCGTAGTACTCATGGTAAGACCTGGTTCCGGGACCGATTTACTTTTTCGTTTTGAGGTCCCTAGAGACCAAAACACCATCCGTTCAAATTCATATATATATTTTTATTTATATGTGTGTCCGTTAGCGCGATAACTCGAAAAAAATCATCCGATTTTGATTAAATTTGGCACAAACGTGTAAACCTATGTTTATTTAAACGAGTTCGCGAACCAGCATGATCGGGCTATGGGAACAGGGGTTTATGGGGGGTTTTATGGGGTAAAAATTGCTTTTTCCCATCTTTCCAAACCATTTTGTAGAGATTAAAAAAAAATAATTTAGTATGTTGAAGCGTTATTATGCGCCTAATGGTTACTGAGAAAATTCCAAAAATCTGTAGAATTAAAATTCCCATGTCATTCGTATGGAGAATAAGTAAACTTTTGTAGTTTGCTTGTTTATGAATATATGTTGATCAAATTTGGAAAATGCATTCATTTTATACTAAACTATTACATTTTACAAAAAAATACCTTTTTACCCTCCCTGTTGCAGCAAACCTAAATACTCGTTAAACTAAGTGTTATTTCATTAGGGAATTAATGTGATATTATTAAGGAGACATTTTAGTGTAAATCTGGTCTGGCAAATGGAAATCACTTAGTCTGCAGGTTTGCTGCGGCGGGGTGTTTAAATTTTAAACCTGTTTACAACCTCTAACGTTGAAACGTAGTATCAACTGCACGGAGACATCTTTAGTTGAAGCTGATACTAAATAGTTAAAAATCTTAGTTTTCTGTGAAAAAGTAAGCTCTTTATTGTATTTGACAAGAAAAGATTAATAATTAGCAAAATAATTACCGTAAATTGCCTATGATAAAGTACACTAAAGTATTACTCATAGAGAGACATTTTCAAATTTTACCAGAGGATTTACAAATATCACAATTTATTCCTCACCAAAAAGAGTCACTTTTTTGCCTTCAAGTTTGTTTGGACTGTTTAATAATACAGTCAACGATAATACTGTACTTGTAACAAAGCGTTTTCTTGTACGATTTTACATTTCGACTTAATCTTATGGTCTGTTCAATAGGAAAAAGTAATCAAAGTTCTAAAAATTAAATACTTAAACATTATCTGCAAATTGTGATGCAAAATTGGCTATTTAACCGTCGAGTCAAATGTGAGTTCGTCATCGTATTTTTGATAGAACATATTATATCATAGCATATTATGCTTCGCGAATTCTTCTTTTTAGTGAATTTCCCATATTGTAAATAAGCTATTGCCGTAGGTCTCATGATAAGACCTACCATGAGGACCCGGTGACGATTTTATTTTCGTTTTAATGTCTCCAGAGGCCAAAAACACCATCCGTTCAAATATACTTTGTCTGGTGTAAAATCTGACCCTCGTATGGTGGATATTTCAGTTAAAAGTATTAAAGTATTATGTATAAAGTATATTTTGTTACGGGAAAATCCAAAAACTGTAAATTTAAAATTCCCATGTAGGTAAGTCTTGTGGAGGATAAGTAAACTTTTGTAGTTCGCTTGTTTGCTGATAAATTTTGATCAAATTCGGCAAATTTGTTTATTTTAGTCAAACTGAACAAACCACAAAAACACACCTTGATATCTTCCCTGTAGCAGCAAACCTAATTGCTTGTTCAACCCAATGTTATTCAAAAATAGGGTTATACATTTGACATGTATAAGGAATATTTAAGTGAAATTCCAACCAGTATGAAAATTCGCTTAGTCTGCAGGTTTGTTGTGGCGAAGGTATTTATTATTGACCTTTTATTACAGTCAACTGCAAAGTTAGGAATTAAATTAATTTATTAGACTAGGCTATATTTGTTTTTTTTTACGTTTTGCAATCTATGAAACCCCCTTTCATGTGGAGAAAAGTTGTTAATAATTTAGTTTTCTTCTCAATTTATCAAAATGAAAATTACACGTAGAAATCAGCTTATAACAGCTTTTTCCAGTTATATGGATAAGCTGTGAAGTTAAAATTGTAATCAATTAGTATATAGTCATTACCCTTCACAAAAGGTTATTGATAACCAAGAGACGGCAAATGTCAACTCCAATAACGTGTTTTAAGTTTTTAAGCATTTTTGCAAAGGCAAAGTTCCAAACTGTAATATCGATTTAATTATAAGCCTTTTGTTGACTAGCAGCAATAGCTCATTTCATAAGCTCAAGCTTAGTTAATTTCATCTGGCCACAGACTTCCTCGTGCTTGAGGAATGATTTAGTTGGTGTATGAGTAATTACGGTAAATTACCTCATCTCACAGATCCTTCCCAGAATCCAGCTTGTTGTTTAATAAAAGTTCTCTGTAGAAGTTACATTTCACGGAATATAATCATTCGCGTGTGAACACTAACTAATATGACTAACTAACTACTGACTGATATAGGTAACTAATGTGTGACTAAGATCACAGAAAACATACTACTATAACCAAACTATAAAATATACTAAAACATATAAACATACTACTATAAGGTTATAGTAGTATGTTTTCTGTGCTAAGATGAATAGGCCTATCCACTTTATATTGACCAGCTGTAGCCAATTTCACAAATAAAACATAGTGAAATGAGCCATTCGCAGAATTGTAAAATTTAAATTCTATTTCCCCCTTAGTTATAAAACTAGCTGTGTACCCGTTCTACGCACGGGGATCTTATAATATTCAGTTGAAACCTTCTTATATAAAGAACAGCAGTTGGTTTGCATATTTTAAGATATGCTGGCCAAACTATTATACATAGCTTCATTTTATGTTGTTTTTTGTTGTTCCGGATCGGTATGACAATCAATAAAAGGTTAAATTACCTCTGTGTCTGCCGGTCGATCCTATAACGGTAGGCTTACTTTTATTTTTACTATCTGATCTCGTTTGCATGGCTCAATCACGTCCTGGTTGAAGTTCGTTCGCTACGCTCACTCACCTGTATGTTGGAGCTCGTTCGCTGCGCTCACTTTCCTTCAGGTTAGCTCGTTCGCTACGCTCACTTGCCTTCAGGTTAGCTCGTTCGCTACGCTCACTCGCCTCCAGGTTGCAAATTAGCTGTTGTCATAAATGTAAAAGAAATAATAGTGCTAGTGCTGCACCCTGTTGGTAATCCTTGTAACTTTAATGCTATTGAACATCACAGAACAGAACCAACTTGTTTAATTGAAACAGCTGTTAAGATTCAATAATTTCATTTCTCATAAGGTTAACATGGGCTTCCAGAAATTCCACGTCAAAAATCGACAAAAACTTGATTTTCAAGGGTTTACTGTTAAATATCTAACTGTCTCATATTCGATGAAATACGTCTAAAACCATCTCATATATGTATAGTATTTTGAAAATAAGTTTCAGGCGGGACAGTGCTATAGTTATTGAGGAGTAGTTGTAATAAAGTGCGTATTTTAGCGTTACCAAGAGAATGACAGATAGACAGACAGACAGACAGACAGACAGACAGACAGAAATTGAGATAAGGTTTGATTCGGTTTCTCTGACCTATGAAATGTAAAAATAACCAAAAAGTTCATTATTCTAAGCAATGTACAGACAAAACTCTAATTTTATTTATATAGACTAGACATCACATCCCCTACAGAACTACATTCTTTATAATATAAAATTTGTGACAGCTGGTCCATACAGAGATACATTAATCTAAATGATACAAATCAAAAATATCTATATTTCCTTGTAAGTAGAACCTCTTTAATCCGAACCCCCGTAATTCGAACGTCCACTAATCCGAACCCCTCATTGCTGTACTCTGTACACAGAACAGTTACTGTTCTGTACAATGAAGAACTACTGTAGTTCTTCATTGTATGCTGTATTTATTGGTATAGGAACCGTAATTGTTTCTATTGTAATGTACCGTACTGCTTATTCCCTATGTTTACTACTGTATTAAATAAACACTGTATTTTACTTTATAAAGCATTTTTTTCACTTTTCCCAAGCAATTGTTATGTAAAAACAACAATATGTTCTGTAATCCGAACTATTCAATAATCCGAACTATCCCCGGT